AATTCAAACAAACAGTGTTATTTGCAAAACGACTGGGGATCACATGATGTCCGGTGACTTTTGATAGGCCACTGTACTTGCCTCGAATCGGGTAGTAAATCTTTTTCCAACAACCAATAGGAATGCACAAATTTTGGAGTACTAATAGTACTAATAAAAAATGTATTTACTGACCTCACCCTTAAATCAGTCAACAAAACCGGAGAAGGGAAAAAGTTAAGTCATGTGTTTGTAATATTAGTATATAAGTAAATGATCGATATATCCACGTGATAGTGAAATTTATTAGACTATTGATACACAAAAAAATCAGGGCAGATTTATTTTGCCCACGGAAACATAATTCCCCTGTGGATCACGCTCACCCACTTTACAAATACGCAGACTTTCAATTCGACAAGTTCCAAAATTGATTTCGGCGAATTTTTTAAGAATAAGTTCAGCAGAAAATGAAATTTTCTGGGAGGTTGAGTATTTATTACGATCATCTTGATTAGGTGTGGCGGTGGTTGTGTCTGATTGCATATCAGATGAAATAGTGTCTTCATCTTCACGAGCGTGAAAATCACGTCCACGGTATTTCGAATTTACTAATGTTACGTGGAACTTTATAAAGCAATAAATAATCATAAAGTAAGAAGTTAGATAAAGATTAAATTTAAACCAATTACGGAATTTTTCATTATTACTTTAACAGGTCTGTCTTCTTTTTTAAGATAACATGCTTTCGAAAATTTTTCATGTAAAAATTCTAAATCAGATAATAAATGTTAGCTTTTTTCAAAAAATTATTAGGCCATAAATTGACTTACCAACTAATTTATCTAAAACCTTTTGGCCTTCTGGCTCTATTACTCTTGAATATAATACATTCGCATTTGCTGTTCATACCAATATACAATTTATAAGCCAAAAAATATTTCATGCCAATACATTATTCTAGTAAATTATTACCTGGATTATCATCAAAAAGATTCAACCCTGTTAATTGAGCTAACAAAGTCCTAGTGCCGACCAAATCATATATTTCCGACGACAACTCTTTTAATAATCGCGTAGCACCTTCGACATCTTCTTGTCGAGGTAAAGTTAACATTCCTAGAGTGATGTGAAGCGATGAAGGATTATTTAAAATCGATGGCTCGATTCCCGGTATTGATAGTGATAAAACGTCGGAATGAAAATTTGAGACTTTTCTTTGAACGTGAGAATCAGTGATTGGAAGTGAAAGGAAATGTGTTGCTCCTATTTTATTGAATGACTATAAATTTGATCAGCAAACTAATATACGAGTAGTGAAGATATATCTATGGAATATCAAGTATACCGAGTTCACTATTTCATTGATCCGGTTCTTCGCTAATCCAATACCTTTTTCGGTACCTCTTATTTCTAAAAAATTTAGATAATATCCAATGAATTAGCACATACTTATACGATATGAATTTAAAAAAGCAAATAAATACCAATTACATCTTCCACACGAGAACAACGAATACGAGTTGAAGTTTCTCTTTGAATGTTATTTAGCGTCTTTCCACCTTTTCCTTTTGAGAAAAAACCATATTGTTATACTCGAGAAATATTATAGTTTATTGATAATCAATAAATCAAGAAATAAATCAATAAATTATTACCAATGATAAACTTGTGAAAAATTTGGGCAACATTAATTTTCATGGTTGTATATTCGTTTTGCAAGTCTTTTTTTATGGATTTGCTGGTATTTTTATTATTAATTTTATTGAGGTTGTTATTAATTCCGTTAGTCTCATTAATATTTTTGCCGGTATTAATATCATCGTCATTAATATTTCCGTTATTTACTAAATTAAAAGATATATCTATGAATTAAACAAGGACAAAACTCACGTAATCTTTAAAGTAAGATAGAAAATAAATACCAATTTCTTTATTATCCACAGCTTTCGATATTATCTCATTTTGATTTTTTATTTTAAAATCTTTGGGCAGAGTACATGTCGGAATTCGATAGATACGGTTATTTACATTTAACAAAGTAATACCCTGCATGGCACGACCTAGTTCTGTCGACGTGTTGGTTTCTAGCGAGATAGTTAAGTCGTCATTGTCGATTTCAGTAACGATATTTTCCATATTTCAGTGTGAAATTTTTCATTAAGCTAATTTATATGATCTTGGTTACACTAACATCTAGCATTACACATAGTAACCTCACGAAGGAGGCTCCTTAGAGCCGGTTCTACACAAATTTTATGTCATAAATTTTAAACTTGATACAATGATTACATATTCTTTAACAGACAAATTCTCTATAAAGTGCTAATTCATATGAAAAATCATATATAATATCCATAAAGGGATTTTTAAAATCCTAAACATCATTAAAAGTGAATATAAATCTATTATATTAGTAAATAAGTCTTATTTAAATTATTTAAAATACAGATTATTTAATGATCACTGAAGAAGCAATATTTCTGCTTTTAGGTCAATTTCTTCACCAATGAAGTGCCTTTTTTCTCGAAACTATATTAGAACATAAGAACAACAGTTTAATTTTCAAACTACTGTATATCTGAAGCTTAACTAAGTTTGAGTTTTATTGTTGCAGATAAAATGAAACGAGACAAGGTAATATCCTCTATACTACATTCTAACACCCAAAATTTTTTACTTTTTTACATTTCATTTTAATCTAGCCAGATCAAAGACATTGAAAATTTTGAGCCCATATTATTTTAAAATTGTGTTCTCTGTTAGAGACATAAAAATATATTCTCTATCGGATAATACCTTGAATATATTTTTCAATTACAAAATCGGTTTAAAATAGATAATTTACATATTTATTTATTAACTAAAGGAGTTATATATCTTGCGTAAATTCAAATATCAACCACTTCATGAGCGTCATTAGTTTTTTTGCCATTTCTTATAATTTTGTGTCATTATCATAATGTATATATCAATATTAATTAATCCAATAAAACTCGCGTGTAATATAAAATTTGTGTCCATTATCGTCAGGATTTTGATTTAACGGTGCAGCGACAAAAAAGAATTCAAAAGTATTGTTTGCTTGTGGATCATATGGTTCAAACCAGTTATTCTGAAGACAGTACGAATTTTGACCTAAACCATTTTCCTAGTTTGCACAATTTTTGTTTCCTGAATTCAACGCAGATAAATTTCTCAATTCGAAACGGGCTCGCGAGGGTATTCCAGGCAAATAATATCCAATCTATGGGATTATTTGCTATCGGTTTACAATATTTTCTCTAATTTGTACATCATACATTCGCTGAGTTTAAAATTCAGTGCATTAAAAATAAAAATAACAATACACGTATATTGATTTACTTGAATCATATGATTAAAATTTTAGTTAAAATAATTTTACAATACCTAAATAATTAAAATCTAAATAAAAATTAACAAATTTAAAAATTAAAACCATTATTAATAAATTTATATTACCATCAAATTTTTATTATAAAAAGTTATACAATCAGATCTAAATACATATATCTTTCTTGGAACTATAGGATTAATTTTAAAATATGCATTTATAGAGAACATGTATTTATAAAGATAAATTTTATTGAATTCATGTCTATATTGTTTCTGTTGTGAGAGATTCATCGTTCATCATTTTTTTTCTAGTGTTTCGTTGGTTCTGTGAGCCACTGTATAAAGAAAAATCAAATGCTGCTTCGTGGATGATTGTTGATATACAATGATAGAACAAATCCGTTCCATTCGAGATAGAATGCACTCGACGGATTATAATAAATTTTGCATCCCTTGTAAGGGGAACGCTAAAGCAGGGTAGTAGATTATATGTCAATTCGAATTATGTAAATCCAGATCATGTCAATCTGAATTTACCTATAAAATTGTTTATCACAGTGAATATTTTTTTTGTGATGTGGACTGACGATCAATTACGTTTATTGTGACAGATTAAAATGAAATCGGATTAAAATGAAATTTTCTCTATTTTAATATGAAAATTTTGGGGGCAATTTTCTAGGTTTTTTTTTGGAATTTGGGTTAGGATTTAGGGTAACTTTTGTTAATAGAAGAGTATATATGGATTTCAGAGGCATTAAAAGAGGATTCAAAAAGACCCCAATTTCATTTTAATCTGCCACATTTATTAATAAATGAGAGAAAAAACAAAAATACCGAGTATCATGGAATTATCCTATTTTTTTAATTGGCACTTACGATTATACGAAAAAATCTCGTGTAACATTATTGTCAAGAAATTTTTGTCATACTGATAATCATTTTATCTAATCGTCTGACATACTGATAATCATTTTATCTAATCGTCTGACATTTGTGCAATTATTTTTCAAGCTCATATTCCACCTTCCAAATCGTGTATACGACTTGATAGTATATACTTGTTAGCTTGGCTTCCTTACTGATTTTCCAAATTTTTTTTCCACGATTTAGTGCCCAATGAATTTTTACAAAGTTACTCCTATCCACGAATGGACATGTACCAACATAATGGAATATTATCACAATGAGCTGGATATGCTAGATAAGGCAAAAGTTCTAGACAGTGTCAAAAAAAATCTTCAGAATGTGGCAAATGTTAACTCTGGATTCGACTTAGAGCGTAGAATAAAAGCCCAAGAACTCATTGATAATTGGAAGATAGGTTAACGGTCACTGTGATATTTTAGACTGCAGTAAGGAATAGGAGTAGCTGAAACTCTTAGTTTACGGCGGTAACCTTGACTCTTAGTTTAAGTGTGGGGGGCTCTTAGCTCGAAACTCCTTTTATTTCCTTTGGGAGGCTGAACTCTTAGTTCAGTGGTAACCTTGACTCTTAGTTTAAGTGTGGTGGGCTCCTAGCTCGAAACTCCCTTTATGCATCTTAGTTGGTGACTTTTCATTATAAAATGATTCACTAATGCATATTCTGCTCTGCAAAGAAATGGGTTGCTCCAGTGAAAAAATTATATAGGTCAAATCGGATACACAAAAAGATAGAGGTTGTGCGAGTTAACCAACAGCTAAATGCAGTTAAAAACTCTGCCGATCAGATTGATATATTTCAGAAACAGTTTGTCGATGATAGTAGTAGAAAACGTTATCATAACAATAACGAACAAATGGATAAAGAAATATTTGAGAAAAAGGCGAGAATTAAGAATACAAGTTCCGATGAAAATCCTGCATACGGTAAGAGCGGGTTTTGAGTGATTAATTTCGGTATTATAAAATTGGTATGTAATTAACAATTTTCCTTATTGACTTCGTCAATTAATGCATTACTATCAGATAATCAAATATCAATATCCATGTCTTCCTGTGATGAAGATGATTCAGTTGAAAATATGAATGCGGAGGAGCTCATTGAGTTTTTACAAAAACGAAAATTGTTTTTGAACCCCAATCATTTTGAGATTTTGCGCGGCCGAGAGATTATTGGTCACGACTTCCTTAAAATGAATAACAAGATTTTAGAGATTGCGGGTTAGAACTGGGTCCGGCAATGCGACTTGCAGATCTCGCTAAGGAACTCAACGACAAAAGTAAATATTTTATAATATTATATCTATGGCTTTATTTTATCTAATTTGATAATTTACAATAACTTGTGTATTCCGCTTATATAGACGAGGACTCAAATAACGAATTTAAAAAGTCTACAATAGGAGCTCCTCCAATCGCTGCCGAATCGGATATGAATAAATTCAACAAAAAATTCATTGAAGATCTCTATAAACTTCTCAATGATAATCTTAATAAGACAATTCGTAGTGAATTTCAAAATATCAAGGGGGATGTAGAAAAGATTAGATGTCAGATGGAAAAGATTGACAGTGCAGTGAAAAGTCTTGAACAAAAAAATAATACTGAAGGAAGTGAACTCAGCTAATGATCATATTATAGCAACTAAATATTTGCCGTTTATAAACAAAAAAAATTAAAATGTAGCTAATCAACAATCTTGTTTTTTTTGTACTGCAAGAAATAAATATCGTATTTTAGTTTGTGTATCGGAAAAACAAAAATAAAAGATCCCTTACATAACAATCATGTTCTGAAATGGACACGCGTGATTGATAAGTGTGAATTAACGTAATCAAGTTTACTTAATAAGATCCAATTCTCGAAGATGTTCTGGGATAACTATATATGGGTCTTCGTAATACCAGACATATCTTAAAACGATCCAATTTTCTTCACATAATTCTTTCTTGAGTTGATCCCGTGCTTGCTGTTTGATAAAATTATTGGGATCTCCTCTATGAAAGAATTCGATGTATTTTTCATGGTGTTGCCCTTGTACTTCGATTGCAAAGCCATATTCTGGGTAATAAATATCAAGTTCTATTAGTATATTAAAATATATTTATAATATCTTTAATATGAAATTTATTTATAATTATATTTATTATTTACAAAATCAAGAAAAAATTAAGAGATTTAATCAAATATTTAATTATTATTTAACAAAAATACTTTAAAATAAAATTTTAAGATTTAAAATTACTAATAAATTAATATTCTTTTCTTATTTATAATTATATATAATAAAGTATTTTATAAAAATTATAAAAAATCTTTATATAAAGTATTTTTTAAATTTAAAATATAAAAAGTTTATAATATATTAAATAAAATATATAAATTAGTAATATTTTAAATAAAATAATACAAGTTAATATTATATTAGAAAAGTATTATTTATCATATAATTTAAAAGATAAATAGATAGATTAAATCAATATTAAATCTTATATAATTAATCATATGCTTAGTATTATTATATAATTTTATATAAATTAGATATTATATTAATAAAATTATATAATATATTTGATATAATATTATAATAATTTTTTTTAATTTTATATTTTCTTTTTTCTTTATCTTCTTTTTTTCTTTCTCTTTCTTTTCTTTTTCTTCTATTTAAATATCTATATTTAATTTTATTTAATAATTATAAAATATCTATCAATATATTCTTAATAATATTTAAAATCTATATTTTTTATTTAGATAGATGTTTATGCTTTAAAAAATATTTATTTTGCTTATGATTAACTATAATAGTAATTATATAATAAGATTTTAAGTTCATTATAATATTAAAAAGTATATATTAGATTAATAAAATATTTATTTTTGTCTTTTATAATAGATAAGAAAAATTTATTATTTTGATTTAAAAGAAGAATTATACTTAAAAATATATATTTCTTATAATACTGATAGTTATTATATTTTTTAATATTTAATAAGTAATAATATATTTATATATAATTCTTAATCCACTCTCATAATATTAAAGATTCTGTTTTAATAAATAATTTATTTTCTTGATTAATATATTTAATTATAATAAATTTATTATATATGATTTTTTTTTATATATTATATAGATTTTTTTTATAAATTTAAAATTTTATTATTTTAATTTATTATTTATTATTTTTTCTTAATTATCAAGATATAATTTGAATTTATCAATAGGAAAAGTAATATTAATAAGCTTTACTAATAGAAGTTATATTATATTTAATAGGATTATCTTCTAAAATATAAATATATATAATTAAATAATTAAGATTTAAAATTTGAAAAAAATTATAATATTTAATAATATTTTTTATATATCTTGAATTTTTATTAGATTTTTTATTAATAAGAAATATTTAAATTAGTTTAATCTTATTATTTTTTATAAAATCTTGATAAAATATTAATTTTTAATAAGACTTTAAAGATTTATTATTATTATCTTTTTGATATAAGTATTAATTTAAGAAGTGAATATAATTCTTAAATTATTAAAAATATATATTTTTGCTAATAATTATAATATTAAAGAATTCTTTATAGTATATTAATAAGAATATTCTTTTCTAATAAAAATTTATCAAAGATAATTTCTAAAGATAGATAATAATAATATTCTTTTAGATTAATTAACTAGAATATAATTTAATTTTAAAGTATATTTCAAAGATAAATATATAATTAGTTTATTAATAAGATAAAATAATAGATCTTTAATTAAGATTTATTTTATAAGAAATATTTCTTAAAATTCTTTTTAAATTATAATCTACTTAAAATATAAGTTGAGAATTAAATTTATAAAACTCAAACTAAACTAATTAATTAATTATTTAGAACTTAACTAATTTATCTAACTATCTTTTTTTACTAGTTAAGATATATCATTTTTATATATTTTAGAGATTATATAAATAATACTTTTATTATGATACTTATATTACTTTTATTATAATCTAAATATTACTTTAGCTAATATTATAATATTGATTTTATTATAATAATATTATTAGTTTTGCTATAATAATTTTATTAACTTTGCTATAATAATTTTATCATGATTATTATATTTACAAAATCTTCTAAAAATATCTATAAATAATATTTTCTAAAACTAATATCCAATAAGATATAAGTAATTATTTATCTAATTATGTTGTGATATAAAATAATTAATAATAAATAAGTAATTAATATTCTACTAAAAGTTTATATCATAACAGAATTCTTTTTATTAATATTTTGCTTCATAAAATTTAAGATTAAATATCAAGTTTCTATAAGACTCAATAATTTTTCAAAGTTATTATTAGTTATTCTTTCTAATTTTATTAATGATAACTATCTTAAACTTAGAATTGCTTGTTTTGAAATAAATTAAAATAGTTTATTAGCTCTACTAGCAATTTTTTAATATCAAAATATTAAGTTTTCAGTTATTACTTGTAAAAGTTTATTATATAAGAATAGCTTTTCTCTAATTGAATCTATAATTATAATAGCATCTACTATTTCTTTATTTGTCTATAATATATTAAAGTTAATATTTCTATTAGATAAAATTATGTTAGTTATTTCTATTATAATATCTATCAAAATAATTCTTGCTCTTGACTTACAAATTGATAATATTTTGAAAGAATTTAAATGAATAATAAAAATAAATTTTATTAATAAATTAAATAAATGAAATATTTTAATAAATAATATTTTACAAATAAGTATAATATAGAATAAATATGTTAAATTAAAAAATAATATAATATAATTAATTAGGATTATAAAAATTTTAGATTAATATATTTTTCAGAAAGATTATATAAAAGAGAATTTTCTGAACAAATAAATTTATAATGTAAACTAATTTTTATATCTAATTTTTATGCTATAGTATATAATTCTATAATTTTGATTATATTATTATTAATTTAGGAGTTGATATAATCTTGTATCATATTAAATAATTATTTAATATATAATTTCTATTAGTACTTTTTATATTAATTTAATTTTTATATCTATTTACTATTTTATAATTAATTTTTTCTTTATTTTTATAGTAAAATTATACTTCTTTATTATCTATTTTAATATTATTAATAGTATAATTTCTTTATAAGTTTTCTTGAATTTGAGTAAGCAAGAATATTATTTTGTTACTAATATATATTCTTTATTTTTCTTTATTATTATTAGATAAGTTTATTTTATTATTGAATTAGATAACTTTATTTTTTTAGTTATTTTTCATTTTTTTGTATTTATATTATTATCATATTTATTAGACTATACAAATAAATATTTGATCATAGAAATATTGATGTATTATTTTTTTTCTTAAAATTCAAAATTTCAAGAATTAGTTAGCATAAAAAATAATTGTAATATTATATCATTATTTTTGTCATTCTCTTTATTTCTCTTGTTATTACTATTTGCTATAGTTCAAGAAATACTAATTATATTCTATTCATATTTATTAGTAACTTCATTATTATTATTTTTTAGTTATTTGAATTAAAGATAAGTTACTATTACTTTTATTATATTCTTGATCATCTGATCAGTAATTAGTAGATTATATAATTTTATATTCTAAATACTAACTAGTTCTGATACTTTTTGAAGTTAAATTATAATTATTAAGATTAGAATTATATATTTTATTAGATAATATTGGACTTTTCAAATATTATGAAGAATAAGAAAGAAATTTCTCTTCTTTTAATTTAATATATTTCTAAAAGAATATAAAAAGATATAATTTTTTATTTTTATTCTAATAGTATTCAAAATAAATAGTAAAGTAATAGATTTTCTATTTTTTTTGCATCTAAAGTAGAAATAATATCATAATTAGTTGCAACTTAGTTGTAGTTCTTTGATTAACTATTATAATTAATTATAATTAAATTATAATTTTCTGATTGACTATTATAAATTGCAATTAATTGAGATATCATCTTTAATCTAAAGATAAAATTTTTTTTTCTTTTTAAAAATTAATTAATGATAAATAAGCAATTTCTTTTTTATCTTCTTTTATTAAATTAATAATAAATTTTTCTTCTTTATTATTAAAATATAATTTATAATTATTATAATTTATTCTTTTTCTATTTCTATACTAATAGTAATAATAATTTTTCAAACTATACTGATAATCTTAATATTTTTATTCTAACTAATTTTTAATTAAAATAATTTTTTTAACTTCTAGATATTGATAATATTAATGATTAATATAAGAAGAGTTATTCTAATATTTAGAACTATAAATATATGATATTCTAAAGAGTTAATTATAAGTAATGCATTTTGAATAATAGCTTTTTAAGTAATAGTATTCTTTTACTAACAAGATGATAAGATTTTGAATAGACATATTAATTATTTGATTTACTATAAAATTAATAGAGTTTTGCTTTTATTTAATTAGTTTTTTATACTAATAAAAGTTATAATTCAATAGTATCAAAGTTTATTTTATCAGGACTAGAAGTATTTAATTTTTTATAATAATTTTAGATTCTAATCTATTATTTTCAAGATATAGTTTTAGATAATTATTAT